ACTTGTGTAGAGTTGTTAGTATTTTCCCTTAAGTTTTTAATTTGATTTATCAGTAAAACTCCATGGGCCTGTGCCTTCTTTTCTGGGAAGGTTTTTGATAGTGAATTAAATTTATTTAATAATTATAGGGCTCTTCACATTTTTGTTGTTTCATCTTGTGTCAGTATTGGTAAATAAACTGAGTTTTACAAGGAGCTCATCTATTTCACTTGAGTTGCTCAGTTTATTATAATAAAATTGTTACTGATATTCCTCATTATCCTTTAAAATCTATATAATTACAAAGGCTTCATCTCTCCAGATACTGATAATTTGTGTGTTCTCTCTGTTTTTCTTCATCAGTTTTTCTAAAAGTTAATAAATTTTTTTTTTTCTTCGGTACGCGGGCCTCTCTCACCGCCTCAGCCTCTCCTGCTGCGGAGCACAGGCTCCGGACGCGCAGGCCCAGCAGCCATGGCCCACGGGCCCAGCCGCTCTGCGGCATGCGGGATCCTCCCACACTGGGGCACGAACCCACGTCCCCTGCATCAGCAGGCGGACTCTCAACCACTGCGCCACCAGGGAAGCCTAGAAGTTAATAAACGTTAATAATCTTTTCAAAAACAAATTTTGGATTTTTATATTTGCTCTAATTTGTTTTTTTTTAATTTTAATTTTATATTGGAGTATAGCTGATTTACAACATTGTGTTAATTTCAGGTGTACAGCAAAGTGATTCAGTTATACATATACATATATCTATTCTTTTTCAAATTCTTATCCCATTTAGGTTATTACAGAATATTGAGCATGGTTCCCTGTGCTATACAGTAGGTCCTTCTTGGTTATCTACTTTTAAATATAGCAGTGTGTATAAGTCAATTCCAAACTCCCAATTTATTCATATGCCTCACCTTTCCTTTTTGGTAACCATAAGTTTGTTTACTATGTCTGTGTGTCTGTTTCTGTTTTGTAAATAAGTTCATTTTTTTCATTTTTTGTTTTTAGATTCCACATATAGGTGATATCATATGACATTTGTCTTTTTCTGTCTGACTTACTTCACTTAGTATGATAATCTCTAGGTCCATCCATGTTGCTGCAAATGGCATAATTTCATTCTTTTTAACGGCTGAGTAATATTCCACTGCATATGTGTACCACATCTTCTTTATCCATTCATCTGTCAATAGACATTTAGGTTGCTTCCATGTCTTGCCTATTATAAACAGTGCTGCAATGAACACTGGGGTGCATGTATCCTTTTGAACCATGCTTTTCTCCAGATATATGCCCAGGAGTAGGACTCTGGATCATATGGTAGCTCTATTTTTAGTTTTTTCAGGAACCTCCATACTGTTCTCCATAGTGGCTATACCAATTTATATTCCCACCAACATGGTAGGAGGGTTCCCTTTTCTCCACACTCTATCCAGCATTTATTGTTTGTAGACTTTTTGATGATGGCCATTCTGACTGGTGTGAGGTGATATCCCATTGTAGTTTTGATTTGCATTTCTCAACTAATTAGTGATGTTGAGCATATTTTCATGTCCCTCTTGGCCATCTGTATGTCTTCTTCAGAGAAATGTCTATTTAGGTCTTCTGCCCACTTTCTGATTGGGTTGTTTCTTTTTTTTTGATATTGAGCTGCATGTGCTGTTTGTAAATTTTGGAGATTAATCCCTTCTTGGTCACAATGTTTGCAAATATTTCTCCCATTCTGTGGGTTGTCTTTTCTTTTTGCTTATGGTTTGCTTTACTGTGCAAAAGCTTTTGAGTTTAATTAGGTCCCATTTGATTCTTTTTATTTTTATTTCCATTAATCTAGGAGATGCACTGAAAAAGATATTGCTACCATTTATGTCAAAAAGTGTTTTGCCTATGTTTTCCTTTAAGAGTTTTATAGTATCCAGTCTTACATTTAGGTTTTTAGTCCATTTTGAGTTTGTTATTGTGTATGGTGTTAGAGAATGTTTTAATTTCATTATTTTACATGTAGCTGTCTAGTTTTCCCAGTACCATTTATTGAAGAGACTGTCTTTTCTACACTGTATAGTCATGCCCTCCTTTGTCACAGAGTAATTGACCATAGGTGTGTGGGTTTATTTCTGGGCTTTCTATTCTGTTCCATTGATCTGTATTTCTGTTTTTGTGCCAGTACTATATTGTTTTGATTACCATAGGTTAGTAGTATAGTCTGAAGTCAGGGAGCCTGATTCCTACAGCTATGTTTTTCTTTCTCAAGATTGATTTTGGGACTTCCCTGGCAGTCCAGTGGTTAAGAAAATAATCCACACTTCCAATGCAGGGGGCAGGGGTTTGATCCCTGGTGGGGGAACTAAGACCCCACATGCCATGTGGTGTGGCCAAAAAAAAAAAAAAAAATTGACTTGGCTATTCAGGGTCTTTTGTATCTCCATACAAATTAAAAAATTTTTTGTTCTAGTTCTGTGAAAAATGCCACTGGTAATTTGGTAATTTGATAGGGATTGCAATAAATCTTCAGATTGCCTTGAGCAATATAGTTATTTTGACAATATTGATTATTCCAGTCCAAGAACGTGGAACATCTTTCCATCTGTTTGTGTCATCTTCAGTTTCTTTCAGCAGCAGCTTATAGTTTTCAGAGTGTAGGTCTTTGGCCTCCTTATGTAGGTTTATTCCTAGATATTTTATTCTTTTGATGCTATGGTAAATGGGATTGTTTCTTTAATTTCTCTGATATTTCATTGTTAGTGTATAGATATGCAACAGATTTCTGTGTATTAATTTTATATCCTGCTACTTTAGCAAATTTATTGATGAGCTCTAGTAGTTTTCTGGTAGCATCTTTAGGGTTTTCTATGTATAGTACCATGTCATCTGCAAAGAGAGACTGTTTTACTTCTTTTCCAATTTGGATTCCTTTTATTTCTTTTTTTTCCCTCTGATTGCTGTGGCTATGACTTCCAAATCTATGTTGAGTAAAAATGGTAAGAGTGGACATCCTTGTCCTGTTCCTGATCTTAGAGTAGATGCTTTCAGCTTTTCACCATTGAGTATGATGTTAGCTGTAGGTTTGTAATATATAGCCTTTATTATATTGAGGTGTGTTCCCTCATTGCCCACTTTCTGGAGAGTTTTTATCATAAATCGGTGTTGAATTTTGTCAAAAGCTTTTTCTGCATCTATTGAGATGATCATATGGTTTTTATTCTTCAATTTGTTAATGAAGTGTATCACACTGATTGACTTGAGGATACTGAAAAATCCTTGCATCCCTGGGATAAATCCCACTTGGTAGTGGTGTATGATTCTTTTAATGCATTGTTGGATTCTGTTTGCTAGTATTTTGTTGAGGATTTTTGCGTCTATGTTCATCAGTGTATGGCCTGTAATTTTCTTTTCTTTTCTTTTTTTGTGTGGTATCTTTGTCTGGTTTTGGTATCAGGGCGATGGTGGCTTCATAGAATGAGTTTGAGTGTGTTCCTCCCTCTGCAGTTTTTTGGAAGAGTTGAGAAGGATAGGTTTTAGCTCTTCTCTAAATATTTGATAGACTTGCCTGTGAAGCCATCTGGTCCTGTACTTTGTTGAGAGTTTTTAAATCACAGTTTCAATTTCAATACTTGTGATCAGTCTATTCATATTTTCTATTTATTCCTAGTTTAGTCTTGGGAGACTGCACCTTTCTAAGAATGTGTCCATTTCTTCTAGGTCTTCCATTTTATTGGAATATAGTGGCTGTAGTAATCTCTTATGATACTTTGTATTTCTGTGCTGTCAGTTGTAACTTCCTATTTTTCACTTCTAGATTTATTGACTTGACCCCTCTTCCTTTTTTTCTTAATGAGTTTCACTAAAGGTTTATCAATTTTGTTTATCTTCTCAAAGAACCAGCTTTTAGTTTCATTGATCTTTTCTATTGTCTTCTTCATCTCTATTTCATTTATTTCTGCTCTGATCTTTATGATTTCTTTCCTTCTGCTCATTTTGGGTTTTGTTTGTTCTTCTTTCTCTAGTTGCTTTAGGTGTAATGTTAGATTGTTTGAGATTTTCCTTGTTTCCTGAGGTAAGATTGTATTGCTACCAACTTCCCTCTTAGAACTTCTTTTGCTGTGTCCCGTAGGTTTTGGGTCATCACGCTATCATTGTCATTTGTCTCTAGGTATTTTTTTTTTTTTATTTCCTATTTCATTTCTTCAATGATCCACATTATTTAGTCTCCACATATCTGTGTTTTTTACAGTTTTTTTTTTTTTTCTTGCTAGTTGACTTCTAATCTCATAGCCTTGTGGTTGGAAAAGATGCTTGATATGTTTTCAATTTTCTTAAATTTACTGAGGCTCACTTTGGGGCCCAGCATGAGATCAATCCCAGAGAATGTTCCACAGGCATTTGAAAAGAATGTATATTCTGCTGCTTTTGGATGGAATGCTCTAAAAATATCAATTAAGTGCATCTGGTCTAATGTGTCACTTAAAGCCCGTGTTGCCTTATTGATTTTCAGTCTGGGTGATCTTTCCACTGATAAAAGTGGGGTTATATTTGCTCTAATTTTGTTTTCTCTTTCACCGATTTTTCTTGCTTAAGCTTTATTATATTCTCCCTTTAACTTTGACTTTAGTATGATATTTTCCTAATTTTAAAGCAGAAATTTACAACATTGATTTTAAACTTTTTTCTAATAAAATGCATTAAAGCTATAAAGTTCTCTCTATGTACTGTCTGCAGTATTCCACAATTTTTGTTATAAATTATTGTCCATTTGCTTATTTTTCATAAGTGTGCATTGTAAATTGTTTGACCGCTGGTTATTTAGAAGGAGATGTTTATGTTTCAAATGTTTATGTACTTTCAATATACTGTTGATCCATGAATAACATGGGCTCTAGGGGAGCCAATCCCCACAAAGTCAAAAATCCACACAGAACTTAATAGTTGGCCCTCCAAATCTGCGGTATTACATTCAGGAATTCAACCAACCACAGATCTTGTAGTATGGTAGTATTATTGAAAAATATCCACATATAAGTGGACCCATGAAGTTCAAACCCTTGCTGTTCAAGGGTCAACTGTAATTTTGTTATTGATTTTTAATTCAATTGCTTTATGATCAAAGAATATTCCTCAGAGATTACACAGAAATTAATGGACCATGCCTATATACCACTTTTTAAATCTCAAATTTAATAATATTGTTTCATGACATAGTTCCCCTTTCAGAGCATTCAGAAAAGAGAAGTTCATAACCATGGTTGAAAATCAAAATTTCTTCAGCAGTATATAAATGTAGATTGGCTAGGTTTAAACCTAGAGATATAGTAGGGTGAGTAATTTTAATACACGCCCTCAGTTAAGAAATCACTAGACCAGGTAACATATTAGTCAACACATTCTGAATTTTATTCAATTAATTAATTCAAATTTTTGTAGAGTGGCAAAAATGTGCCAGGTTTTTTACTGGGTACAAAAATTTTAATGAAGGTACCAAGATATTTTTGTACTGCACTTTATTCTTAATATCTATATAATGTTAAAATAAGGAAATCAGTCTATGAGCATGTGTGTTTTTATGTGTGTATCCATGTGTGTGTAAGCCCCAAACTCACGCATGATCAACAATGACATTATTTCTGTAATATAATGGGATGATGTATAGTAATATTTCTTTAACAGATCTTAATATGTGCCTCCATTACAAATAAATAAGAATTAGATATAAAACTCCCCTTTGTGAGAATAAACATGCTCATATAGTACTAAGACAAATGGAAATTTATAAATAGAAACTACTTTGCAACATAGTTTTATTTCTCATATTTTCCTAGAGAAGAAAAAAAGTCAAAATGCATATCAATGCTTGTGATATACACTGACACACACACACACACACACACACACACACACATGCACACATTCACAGACAGACATGCATGCCATTGAGTGATTTGGATTTGGTTAAATTCTGAGATTATTTTGAGGATCTGATCTCACCTGGCATAGTGTTTTTAAGATGATGCCTTATAATTCTTACAATGTCTTATAGTTCAATTTTAAGAGAATTTGGAGCATAAAGTGGGGAAAAATTCAATCATGGTGTCATTAAAAAGCCCATAAATGTCCATATTTCAGATATGCATTTTGGTGACTTTTATTTTTAATGTTTTTATCCATCTTGTTTTAATTATGTTGAAAATTGTGCTAAAAACACATATTTGCTCATTTCTATTTTTCTAGGATGAAGTAATCTTACATAATAATAGAGATCTAAGAATGTAAAATATTTCTCTAGTTGGTCATGGCAAGTGTTTATGTACAGTAATTATCATTAAATAGAGTGATTTTGTATAAATTAATTAAAACTTTCCCCTCTTATTTTAATAGCCAAAAAATAAACTTCGGGACATATGATAATTACATCCCAGGTAAGAAAGTTCAATTTTTTAAAACAGGTATGATTAATTTTAGGGATAAGTGATAAACAACAGCTGTCATGGAGTATTACTAAAAATCAGCTTTTAATTTTCCTAAGTACCTTTCTCATGGGCTCAGTGAATACCTTCTAAAGATATTTTGTCTTACTATCCACAGAAGATTAAATGAATATGTTCAGCAACATAAAGTTGGACATATTTACAGGTTAGAACTCAAACAGTTAGATAATCTTACAGTTGAAAGGCAGTGTAAAAAAAAATGGATAAATAACTTCTTACCTGTGTCAGGAATGTCTTCTGCTACATTGCTGATATTCTATATCGGACATATAATTGGCAAAATAATTCATTACTTGACAAGGCCTGTCAATCTGATGGTGAAGGACTTCTTATATCAAGTAATCAATTTTCTCTCATATATTAAACTTAAATATATCTTTCATTCTGCATATTTTCTCATTGATCCTGATTCTATCTTTAGGAGACTCACAGGACAAGTCTATTTTCTCTTACATACAGCATTTTTGTACATACTTAAGTAGATGAGGATATCTCTCTCACAGGTCTTATTGGTAACCTAAATATTTTTAACTATTTATATTATAGTTTCCATGTAACTCGACCCTCACAATCACAATTCTGTAGGTACTCTTTATTTATCGATTTTCTTCATTAGTATGCCACTGATGACAATGCAGTTCTGGGGTGTATGACGTTTGCTCTTGTAGCTTAGAATATGGTTACTAACTAAGGGGATCTTAAGTGTTAGCCTTTATATTCAGTCATATATTTACTGAATATTTTAAATAGGAACTGTGCTTAGTACTTTGGGAGCTACAGAAGTAGCTACCATAATTTCTGTTCTCAGTAGAATTGTATTCTATCCAAAAGAGTATAAAGCAAAAATCTAGATTGGAAGAGACAGAAAGATTAAAAGGAAACAGTAAAACTGTTTTTTTCCATTTATATCACAGACTATATTAATTTCACAATGACTATACAATTAACTACAAAACTAGTTAAAATTAAAAAAAATCAAATTTTATTTTCTCATACTAATAGTACAGAATTTCAAACATTACCAAATACATGAAGCCATAATTTGAATCCTTTATTTATTAATTTACATATGATTACTTACTGCCATTTTATTTATTTTTTATTTTTTCTAAACCAAACCAAATTTATTTATGAATTATTAACCTCTTGACAGTACTTGGGCAATGGGAAAGAACGGGCAAGAGAAACTTACTGCCATTTTAGGTCTGATAAAATTCTATTTATTCTGAAGTGTATGCTTAATGTTTTCTTATTTTAGTCAGTGAATTAAGTAAAAAATCATGGAATCAGCAACATTTTGCCCTGGTATTTCCCAAACCACCACGGCCAGGAACAAGAAAGAGATCAAAACCTTCCCAACTACAAGACAAAACAGTTCCTGTGAGTATTGAAAAGATCACATAATTTTACTGGTAATAATCTTGTGAAATCATGTATAGCTATATATGTTACAGATCATCATTGACCAATGGGATTTCTGTGATGATGGAAGTATTTTATATCTTTGCATTTCAATTCCAATATGGCTACTGAACACTTGAAATGAGGCTACTGCAACTGAGCAGTTGAATTTTACATTCAATTTGATTCAGTTCACAAGTGGCTTTTAAATGTCATATTGTACAGCACAGTTAAAGGTAACTCAATTCTACTACTTGGAGAAAGTAGATATATTTAATTTGCATTTTAGTGTATAAAAATTATTTCATATTAAATATTTGCTCAGCAATCCCACATTATAGAAAATATGTATCCAAGAAGCACAGAAATCTGGAGATCCTAAGGCTACAGTTAGTATAAACATTCAGAAAATATTCCCCAGTTGGAGAAACCCCCTCAGGAGAATCATGGAGTTACATTATACACTAAGGAAGTTTCAATGCTTTCTCATTTCCTATAATATAGAATTCCAGATTTTGAGTATTAGAAGATTAATATTTCCCAATGTTTCTGGAATCATCAAGGAATATGAAAATGTTCCAAGAAAAGTTTTCACAAAATAACATATCATCAACTCTTGTTTATTTTAGGGAATATATTTAATCAGTAGTAACCTATGTTTCTTCTGTTTTCTCATCCTTTTTTCATTTTCCTTTCTTTCTTTATTTAATTTATTTTTCCAGCCATTAACATTCTTTCCAAAATTTGCTTTTTGCAATTAAGCTTTTAAAAATATTGGATTAGGAGTTGAAAACAGAATGTACCATTCTGCTCAAACTATTGTCCACTGAATGTTATAGTTTTCATTATTGCAGTTTCCTATCTGATACTCAAATTATATCTTGTCAGGCAGAGGAGTATTAGGCTTTTACTTTTAACCACAGGTAGCATTCTAAATTCCAGAGACTTTGAATGTGACAATAGAGACCAGGATATGCCTGAACATGAAACTCTTAGATATTAGAGAATAATTAGTTTCTGAGTTAGCACAGAAATGGAAGGTGGGGAAGACATTCCAAGAAATCTCAAGAACACAGAGTAAAAAACCAAAAACCAAAAACCAAAACAAAACCTAAATCTCTCATGATTGTGAAGAGTGGTTCTGATTTGTCATTAGTCAGTGAAGTTCTGTGAGGATTTTAACATAAAATCTTGAGGGAATTATGAAGATCCTCTAAATTAAAATTAGGCCTTAAATGAGGCATGGCTGTCCTTTAATACAAAAAAGGAACAAAGTTGAAAAAGCATAATAAACTATGCAATCTACCATTTACCCACTATTTATCAAAATCTAAAATCTTTTCATGGTTGAAGTTAAATGTATTCAATATCTGGTAATAAAGGCTGTGTAACTCACACACAAGTTGTTCATTATTATTCTAACCAATATTTCAGAGATATGATGAAGACAAATTAAGGGGAGCTCATAAACCACCATTATGGATGCACCATTCATTAATGAGAATTTCTGAGAGACCATCTGTTTATTTAGCTGCTAGGAGGCAGCCTCCACAGAAACCAGCTCAACACTCCAGGGAGGATGCTAAAGATGTAGCAAAACCTTTATCTCCATCAATAATTAAGAAAAGTAAGGAAGACAAGAAGGACAAATCAGATTCAGAAGCAGAGTCCACAGTTTCAGAGGAAAAACTTAGGAAAGGTTCAAAGAAAGAACCAGGAGCTAAAGAAGAGAAAGCAGATGCAAAGAAAGATGTCAAAATAGAGAAAAAAGGTTCAAAGAAGGGCAAGGAGTCAGTTACAGAATCTGAAGATGAAAAAGCAGGTGCAATAAAAGGTTCTAAAAAATTCAAGAAAGGTTCAAAGAAGGACAACGACTCAGCTACAGAATCAGAAGGTGAAAAAGGAGATGCCAAGGAAGACTCTAAAAAAAATAAGAAAGGGTCAAAGAAGGGCAAGGAGTCTGATACAGAAACAGAAGGTGAAAAGGGAGATGCAAAGAAAGAGTCAAAGAAAGATAAGAAAGATTCAAAGAAGGGCAGGGAGTCTGCTACAGAATTAGAAGGTGAAAAAGGAGATGCGAAGAAAGATTCAAAAAAAGATAAGAAAGGTTCAAAGAAGGGCAAAGAGTCCATTACAGAAGCAGAAGGTGAAAAGAAAGATGGAAAGAAGGATAAGAAAGGGAACAAGGATTCAAAGAAACCTGGTGAGAAAGGAGATGAATCAAAGGACAAGAAAGATTCAAAGAAGAAGGAGAGTAAAAAAGATAAGAAAGATGAAAAGAAGCCCGGTGAGGCAGATAGTGAGTCAAAAGATGCTGCCAAGAAAGAAAAGAAAGATGCCAAGAAAGAAACTGACACAGAATCTGCTGAGTCAAAGAAAGATGCCAAGAAGGATGCAAAGAAATATGCCAAGAAGGGCAAGTAGGCCTTGGATGGTAATTCAAAAGAGTATTTGATGGAACAATTTTAGTAGTCTGAAACTGAATATATGAAAAGGGGGATTCAAAGAATTAATGGAATAATTTTTTAAATGGGGGAAAGAAGAACACAAAGATGGGCTCAGAAAACCTTCATTAAATATATAAGAAAGACGTTAAAAGGACTTGGAGGATACTTATGCTAAATTTGGGGATATGAAGAATTCAATGAAAGATCCCTAGAAAGATTCATAAAGAATATTCAGAAGTTAATGATGTTGAATCTGTGGATACAAAGAAGAAAAAAATCAACAAAGGCGTCAACAAAATTCAAGGATGCAGATATTGAAACCATAGATTTAAACAACCTGAAATTGCACCCACAGATTTAAATAACCATAGGAGTCATGAGAGGAAGTCAAACAGATTTCATAAAGTCTACTTTCAAATAAGTACAAATACAAATTAAAGGTAGCATTCCTCAAAAGAAAAAAAAAAAGGAAAAAGGAAAAAAATTACTGCTTTTTTGTGAGCCTGTACCATCTCTGAAGTATAAACAGCCACAAGCAGGTTGATGGAGTTTGAATACTCTGCTTCCAAGACAAGATAAACATACTTGGTAAGTTAGTTTTGTTTTCTTTTAAGTCAAATAAGATTTAAAAACAATTAAGCTGACTTAAAGGTTTGAATTGAAATTTACCATTCTTATAAAATCTCTGTAATCTGCTCACTAAAGTTTTACTAGACTTTCAGCAAGTTTGGACTTTTTCATAATAAGAAATATTTAAGAATATGGAGGGAAACACCACATGAATGAAGATTTTACAAGTGTCAATGAAAAGGTTAAGGGAAGTAGAATTATTTAAGGTGAAGGAGAAGAGACTGGCTTATGATATAGAACTTTAATAATTTTAACAATTACTTAACAAAAGTTTCGTTTGATTGTTTTAACAGAAAATGGTGGCCAACTTCTCTCCATTTAAGGAAGGATGAAAATCAAAATTGTCCAAACTACAAATGTGAGTAAATTTAAATGAGACATATTGATTCTTGATAATCTGATAAATATATATATAAAACCAAATTAACCAGAATTCAACAGAATCTAACAGAGTGAAAATACCTATATGATATTATTTTGATGTGGAAACAAATTTATATCTTTATAACTATATTAAACTCTCTCTTGACCCATGAATCTTATTAATGTGAAGAAAAATAAAAAGCAATATAAAGCAAAAGGTAAAATCTTGGACCTGCCAATTAGTGCCAATTAAATATTTTCTGATTTAAATCATTCTCTCTCAGATAAACTCAGCATCATTGCAGAACTCACCAAGTGATTTTCTCTCCCCTTTATTCTTTGCAGTATAAACTCTAGATCCAAGTTAAAGCTTCTCCTTGATATTAAAGGAAGAGTCTCCTATTCCATATGCCCTCAAGAGCTAACTTTCTATTAATAGTGAAGTATAACTGTTTTGCCTGTTCTTTAAATACTGGCCCCTGTCCCCCATACATCAACTGCTCAAGGATTAATGGCTATTGTAATTCATGGTCTTCCAGATGGTCCTACCTTGCTGATCTGGATCAGCTGCAATGACAAAGAGAATCAAATCCTGCCCCACTGTTCTCCTCTCCCCCTTCCAGGAAACTCCTCATTCTCCCTCTGCTTAGAGTAAAATTCTATGTTTAGGTGTTCAAACTTTTCTGAAAATGTTAGCATCACTCTGGGAATTTAGGAAATCATTTATTTTTTTCGTTTTTTATTGGAGTATAGTTGATAACACAACAATGTTTTATTAGTTTAGGAAATCATTTTAAATCCCGCTCTTACCTCTAAAAATGCTTTTAAGATCATTTTCTAACACAGTATTCAAAAGCCAAATTTTAGATTCAAATTTAATGTACAGTGAAAGAACAACTGAGTGTCTGCCTTTACTATTCTACTGAAATGCACCAAGGTCACCAGGAACCTCCATGTAGCCAAATCCAATAGCAGTATCTTTTTATCCTGGTCCCTCTTCTCTTTTCTATCTATATATTTCCCTGAGTTATTCCATCCATTCCCATGGATTTATACAACATTCTTATGCTGTTGAATCTCACATTTAAATGTAGTATTGATTTCTCCACCCAACTCCAAATTCATATATCCAAATATTAAATTAAAGCATCTACATGACTGTCTTCCAGGCACCTCAAAATTAACATGTCCCAAATAGAACTCTTGATATCCCTCCACCAAAATCTATGGTTCTCCAAAGTTTCACCAACTCAGTAAATGTCAGTGACATCTAACCTGATGACTCAATCCAAAATTGATGGGTCATGCATAATTACTCTTTTTTCTTTACCCTGCTTATCAGTCAGTAAGTCCTTCCTGACTACCTCCAAGATAACTGAATTGGTTTACTTCACTGCATTTCTACCATTTCCACACGAGAAGTCCAGTTAGCCATTATACCTCAATTGGAAACGCCCCCCAAACCCTACCTAAATGCAGGGGAAGCCCCCTACATAATTTCTCACCACTTTGCCACAAACCATTCTCAACACAAAAATCATGATGTTTCTCCATTACTTTAAACTTTCTAGTGTATCAAAGTCACATTTCTTTTCTAGTGTATCAAAGTCACATTTAGCATAAATTTTCTATGTACAATTCTCCACGAACTTCACATTGTTGACATCTTCAAATTAAAAATTTTCACCTTAAATTTTACCTTTCTGGATATTTTTTAAAAGATTTTATTTTTTAGAAGAGTTTTAGGTTTACAGAAAAATTAATCAGAAGGTACAGAGATTTCGCATATATGCCCTGTACCCACACATGCATAGCTTCCCCCATTGCCAACATCCACCACCAGAGTAGTACATGTTTCTACTGATGAACCTACATTTATATATCATTATCATCCAAAGCCCACATCAGGGTACACCTCAGTGGTATACATTTTATGGGTTTTTTAAAAAATGCATAATGACATATATAGTAGTTTCACTGTGCTAAAACTCCTCTGTGCTCTGCTGATTCATCCCACCCTTTCCCCCTACCCCTAGCAACCACCGATCTTTTTACTGTCTCCAGAGTTTTTCCTTTTCAAGAATATCATTGTGTTGTAATAATATAGTTAGTAGCCTTTTCAGACTGGCTTCTTTCCTTTAGTAATATGCATTTAAGATTCCTCCATGTCTTTTCATGGCTCATTTCTTTATAGCATTGAAAAATATTCCATTACCTAGATGTAAGACTGTTTATTTATCCATTTACCTACTGAAAAATATATTAGTTGATTCTAAACTTTGGATATTATGAATAGAGCTACTATAAACATTCATACGTAGATATTTTCATGGAGATAAACTTTCAACCCCTTCGGGTAAATACCATGGAGCACAATTGCTGCTTTGTATGATAAGAATATGTTTAGTTTTGTAACAATACTATATTATATACTTAGAAATTTGCTAAGAGGGTAGATCTGTTTTTTATCATATAAAAAATGGTAATAATATATAAAGAAAGTGGGAGGAAATTTCTGGAGGTTATGAATAGGTTTATGGCATAGATTGTGGTGATGCTTTCACAGGTGTATACTTATCTCCAAATTCATGAAGTCATCAACGTGTATACATTAAATATGTACAGCTTTTTGCATGTCAAAAAAGGTGTGTGTATATATATATGTATATATGTATTAAATATTACATATATATATATATATACACACATATAGATATTACACACACACTTGCTCATAAACACACACACACAAAAGGAACCTGAAAACTGTCTTTTATCGTGGGCTGTACAATTTTGCAGTCCCACCAGCAATGAATGAGAGTTCCTGTTGCTCTACACCCTTCCCAGATTTGGCATTATCAGTGTTTCGGATTTTGGCCATTCTAATTAGTGTGGTATCTTGTTTTGATTTGCATTTCTTCCAAGACACATAGGTGGCACACACTTTCATATGCTTATTTGCAATCTGTTTATCTTCTTTGGTGAGGTGTCTGTTAAGGTTTTGACTCATTTTTTAACCAGACTGTTTGTTTACTTATTGTTGATTTTTAAGAGTTCCGTGAATATTTTGGATAAGTCCTTTATCAGATACGTCTTTTTCAAATATTTTCTCCCAGTCTGTGGCTTGTCTTTTTATTCTCTAGTCAATGTTTACACAAAGCAGAATTTTTTATTTTGTTTTAATGAAGTCTGGCTTATCAATTCTTTCATGAATTTCTTTGGTTTTGTATCTAAAAAGTTACCACCAAACCCAAGATCATTTAGATTTTCTCTCATATTATATTCTAAGACTTTCAGAGTTCTGCATTTTACATTTAGGTCTGTGATCCATTTTGATCCAAACATGTTTCTCTGCCCATCCTTTTGTCATTCACTTTCCTATCACCCAGCTGCTTCTATCCGCTAACATGCTATATTCTTCTATGTAACATACACGACCACCTGTTTTCTGTCTATATCTATCAATCAATCTATCTTATCTGTTTTCTAATCTAATTTATCTTTAATCTATTTATCTATCTCTCTAGTCAAAATCATTTATTGCATGTTGCTTATCTCCCCAACAAGAATAAAAACTCCACAAGGGAAAGAAATTATGTGACTTATTTACTGCTGTATCTTCAGTGTAAAAAACTATCTCAGACATGTAGTATACACTCAAACCACATGTCAGGTAAATGAATATGTCAGTTTGGAGCACCTAACTGAAATGACTTACTTGGGGTAGGCTTCTCCAAAATCCTAAACTGAAACATACAAATCTTAGCAAAGTCAGACTAATTCTTCAATTGCTATTTTGTTCACAAGGATATGGCTTAATCTCATTTGATAAGATTCCTCTCAATGTAACTATACTCCCTCTCAAATGGTTAGCTTAACTTAGAAGTTATGTTACCTAGCTTCATACCCTTCCTATTTATAGCCTGGCACAACAAAGTAGAATTTTAAAAAATGTTTGAACTACATAAGGGCAATTAAGGATTT